CGATATCTTGGATGTTGACAGAATAGCCCACGTCCTAGGAAAACACAATAAAATCTTGATTACCACATAATTCATTAATCATTTCTTCATTTAGAGTGATGATTCTAACAGTTTTTACATGTAAGCCCTAATTCTAGAGAGAGAAGCTAGAGCGTGATCACTATCTATATATTTGGCATTTAGAATGATTTTAAAAATCTGCCTAGTAAAAATTTGATCTGTAAAATATGTATGACTCCACGTATTCCGAAACTGAAACCGAAACCCGAAAAAAAAAACCAAGATTGTTAGTTAAATCCCATATTCGATATGGCATCATAGTTACGTTGCGACAACAATTGAAGCTAACATAATTGAAGTTACGATGCCACAACAATTTGTAATAAAGGAAAAAAAACCAAATTAATGCTAATTTACTTCAGTTTCATCCATCAAACCTTAAAATAACCCTAATTAGTAATTGTTGACCAGTGACACAATTTTGACCGTGATTTTGACCATCGTTTTGTTGTTGTTAATATGCATTGACCTTTTAATTAAAATTTTCAAAATATTTACGTTTAGTACAGTAATATTATTGTGTTGATCGGTCAACACATCAGAGAAAGAAAAAAACACTCCATCAATGATTGTTGTGTCAATCAAAATTAAAGTTAAATTGTGATTAAAAATCATAAATTGAGTGTGTTTAACGAGTTGAAGGTAATTTTTATTATATATATTAGAGTTGCATTTTCTATAAATATATTTAGGAAATATAAAAATAGATGTCCTTATTGAATTAAGTCTTTGTGTCATAAACCTTCACGTAATTAATCCTATAATTGAAGGATCTCTATAACATAATAAATACGGCGAAAGGTATATTTTGATTCTTGTTTGTGTGGGATTTTCTATTTAATTATTAATTTACATAAACTTTATAAATCAGCATAATTAATTAATATTAAAATGTCCTATAATACGTCAAATATTTTTGAGACGTGACAGATGAGACCCAACAGCGAGGAATTGTACAGATTTGACAGCATACACACTCGCACGTGATATGTTGCACTATATTTATATTAATTTCTTTTAAATCTAATTTATATTCTATTAAATAAATATCTATATATTATAACTGTATTTAATTATTTACAAGACCTATAATTATATTTACATAGATATAGAGAAGCAGCTGAAAACTGATCCGGGCCGTATACACTACAATAGATATAAATTAATTATATTAAATATTATTTATATACATTTATTTATTTTAAAAAGGGAAAGTTGATTTAATATCTGCAAGACCTAAAACTGCATTTTACATAGATATAGAGAAGCAACTGAACTGATTCCGGCCGTAGGCACTGTGCACTATTTCGGTGACTTAAATTCACTTTTTTTACTTATAAGTTGGTGTTTGCAAAAGCTTATTTACGAGCAGAAGTTATGAATTGTGAGTTAATTTCGTTTTAAGTGTTTATTTTTTGAAGTTGTGGGTGTTTACAATTTACTCGAAAATTAACTTTAAAAAAAAAGGGATACGGTGTTCTAAGAATTATAGATTAAAGTTGTTTGTTTTAAGAAAAACAAAAGCAAAAGTTTATTTTGTAAGCACCTAATAATAGATTGTGGAAAAAAAAACTCATAATTTGTTTGTAAAATTAAAGCTGCAAACACTACCTTAGTCTACGGATTTATCGGTAAAGTAAAAAAAATTATAGCCAATAGGACTACGAGATAATATATACAAAAAATCTACTTTTAGATTACTTATTAAACTATTCTTTAAGCTCCTACATTTGATAAGATGTTTTATAAGTTTATAAGTTATAAGTTATTTGAGTGTAACTTTAATTGTATTTTAAATGTTGTAGTAATATAAGAAAATAAGATCTTTATATAAAAATGTGAGGTGAAAGCACTTTTTTTTTTAAATCTTATAAGCTCTTTAACAACTTATTTTTTTTAGAAATTTAATATATTTTTTTATTAAATTACAATACAAGATATTTTTAAGAGCTTATATACTTAGCCAAACAGGCTCGTCTACTTCTGTATACTTATCTTCCAAACTCACCTCCATTTATCACAAAAATAAAAATAAATAAAAATAAATAAATATATACAAAGTAAGTGACTACACGTCTATAATTTCAGTAACCATATGATACGTT